CCTATATGAAGCAACCACACATGCACCTCCTGCAGCTCCACTTACGGAGTGAAAACCAACACTTCCTTCTCCACCAACTGGCCAACAATAAACAACCACCAATAAAGAGCCTGACTCACCCTTAACTGCTCTTCATAAACAGTTAACAGAGTTCTAAATACAACAATGTCACAATGTCTCAGAGAAAACAGACAATCACAGTCCACACAAAGAAACAAGAAAAGCGGTAGAAACAAGGGAACAGGATACAGACCCAGAACACATCCCTGAGGAAGAAGCAGCATTGGAATTCCCTGATAAGGAATTCAAAAGAATTACACTTTGGTATCTTCAAAGGACTGAGAGACAGATCAAAGAAAAACACTGACAACATTAAGGAAAACACAGACAAAACCCTAGAACAATTTCAGAAGAAAATACAAGAACAAAATGACAATATGAATGACAAATTAGAAATGATACAAACTCTACAGATAGAAATCCAGAAGATTAATATTAAATTTTCAAAAATAGATAACACATTGAAAGGGCAAAGGAGTAGAACTGAAACAATGGAAGACAGAAATAATGAGGTTGAAAACAAATACCTGAATATTTCTTTGGAAAGGGATCAATGAGAAAAAAGATCAAAACAAAAGGAATAAAGCCTAAGGTTCATGTGGGATACCATCAAAAGGAATAATCTATGTGTAATTGGAATTCCAGAACAGGAAGAGAAAAACAAAACCACTGAGAAAATTGTCCAAGGCTTGTTGGAAGACAACTTTGCTGATAACGATGAAAGATGAAAATTTATCCATTCAGGAAGTCCAACAAACCCCAAACAGAGAGACCCCAAAAGAAAATCATCAAGACATATCATCAAAATCATCAAAACCAAAGACAAAGAAAGAATCCTAAAAGTAGCACAGGAAAAACAACAAGTTACCTACAAAGGACAACCAATAAGAATAAGCTCTGATTTCTCAGCAGAAACCATGTAAGTGAGGAGGCAATGGGATGGTATATATAAAACCCTGAAAGAGAAAAATTTCCAACCAAGAATTATATACCCGGCAAAATTGTCCTTCAAATATAATGGTGAAATTAGGAGATTTTCAGGTAAGCAGAAATTAAGGAAATTTATTAAAACCAGACCAACCTTATAAAGACACTAAAGGGAGCCTTTTGAACAGAGAACCAATAATAGCAAACAACTGACCACTAATACACAAGATGATGTAACCCAGAAACCAACATAGCTATGAAAGTATCCAAAGTAAGATAAGCTTACAAGATTGTAAACAGGGAACCAGAGACATCAATTGGCAAATGAGGACAACTACAAACACAATTCATAGACATACTGAGATCAGCACAGAAAATAATATGGAACAAAGAAACCAGGGACACCATGAAAAAACACATAACAAAAGACACCAACCAATCTATATTTGTCGATAATTACACTGAATGTCGATAGATTAAATGCATCACTCAAGAGACAGAGAGTTGCAGACTGGATAAGAAAACATAACCCATCAATATGCTGTCTACAAGAGACACATCTTAGAGACAAAGACAAAAATAGACTAAAAATCGAAGGTTGGAAAAAGATATATCAAGGAAATGGCAACCAAAAAAGAGCAGGAGTAGCAGTATCAATTACTGATAAAATTGACTTTAAGACAAAAACCACCATAAGAGACAAGGAAGAATATTATATAATATTTAAAAGGATCAAGTGAACAAGAAGATATAACCATAATAAATATCTATGAACACAATGAAAGAGCCCCAAAATAAATAAACCAGACTTTCACAGAAATGAAAATGCAAATAGATGACTCCATAGTAATAGCAGGAGACATTAATACACTACTTTCAATCAAAGGTAGAACAACTGGAAAGAAACCCAACAAAGACACAGAAGAACTCAACAATGCAATCCGCCAACTTGACCTTATAGATATCTACAGAGCACTTCACCCAACAACAGCCCAATACACATTCTTTTCCAGTGCACATGGAACATTCTCCATGATAGACCATATGTTAGGCCATAAAGCAAGCCTTAATAAATTTTGAAACATTGAAATACTGCAAAGCATCTTCTCAGATCACAATGCTATCAAATTAGAAATCAACAATAGGAAGATAAATGGGAAAAGAGCAAATACATGGAAACTGAACTACACTCTCCTTAATAATGACTGAGTAAGAGAAGAAATAAAAAATGAAATTAAAAAATTCCTTGAATCAAATGAGAATGAAAACACAACCTACCAAAATCAGAAAAGCAGTGATTAGAGGCCAATTTATAGCAATAAAAGCACACATCAAAAAAGAAAGAGCCAAAATCAACACTTTAAACCAACATCTCTGTTGTGGTTACCTAGTGCTGCTCGGACAAGAATATACCATAAATGGGATGGCCTTAATAAACAGGAGTTTATTCTCTTACAGTTTGGAGGCTTTAACTTCGAGTTCAAAGTGCCAGGCTCTAGGGGCTGGGTGAAAGCCCCTCAACCTTGGGCTTCAGCTTTGCCTCCTCCTCCCAGCCCACTGAAGCTAGAGGTTTTTCTTCATTCAGACAGCTGCTGGCTGCTGAGACTGACAAGCCCAAGGTTAATAAGTGAAAAGGCACAGTCCCAATGTTACCAAACCACACTGCAGGCCATTAATTCAAGTTCACTGAAAGTCCCAAGGTCAGCAGAACACGCAGGCTGCTGAACAAGGACACAGCTACATGCAGAGTTCAAGCATGCCATAGGCTGGAGACTGTTTCCCAAGGTTTCTCTTGACATACAGGAAGCAGACCACATCCTAAGGCAAGCTATTCAGCTGCTCACAGTAGATTCCACCATGAAGTTGATTACCAGTTTCATCATGGACAATACTACATCCAACTGCCCAGCCACTCAACTAGGCCCAGCCAAGTTGATACACAAACTTAACTACCACAGGCATCTATGCAAAACCAATAGCCAACATTATTCTCAATGGAGAGAGACTGAAACCATTCCTGTTGTGAACAGAAACCAGACAAGGATGCCCTCTATCACTATTTCTATTCAAAATTGTATTGGAAGTCCTAGCAAGGCAATAAGGCAAGAAAGGGAAATCAAAGGTGTCCAAATTGGTAAGAAGAAGTTAAACTATCCCTATTTGCTGGTAATATGTAGCATAGTGCCTAAGGCACTTGACTGATAACCAGAAGTCTGATGGTTCAAACCCACCAGCCACTCGTCAGACAGAAGGTTGGGCAATCTACTTCTGCAGTGATACCACCTCAGAAACACAAGGAGGGGTCACTATGAGTCAGTCCAACTCGACGGCACATAACAACATCAACATACCTAGAAAATCCAAGAGACTTGGTAAAAAAAATCTACTGGAACTAATTTGAGAGATTTAGCAAAGGGGCAGGATACAAGATCAACCTCCAAAAATCAGTTGGATTCCTCTACACCAGCAAAGAGATTGCTGAAAAAGAAATAAAGAAATCAATACCATTTATAATGTTGTTGTTATGTGCCACGGAGTCAGATCTGACTCACAGGACTCCTCCTTGGGTTTCCTAGGCTGTATCACTGCAGAAGTAGATTGCCCAACCTTCCTTCTGAGGAGTGGCTGGTGGGTTTGAACCTCCAGCCTTCTGGTTAGCAGTCAAGAGCTTTAGGCACTATGCTACCAGAGTTCCCACCATTTATAATAGCTACAAAAATAAATAAATAAATAAAATACTTGGGAATAAATCTTACCAGGGACACAAAAAACCTATACAAAGAAAACGTTAAGACTACTTCAAGAAACCATAAGAGATCTACATAAATGGAAGAACTTACCATGCTCGAGGACAATATTGAACATTGTGAAAATGTCAATTCTACCCAAAGCAATCTATATAGTCAATGCAATCCCAATCCAGATCCCATCAACATATGGAAAAACCAATCACTAACTTTATATGGAAAGGAAAGAGACTTCGGATAAAAAAAAGCATTATTGAAGAAAAACAACAACAAAGCAGGAAGTCTCGCAGACCTGGATCTTAAAACCTACTATACAGCCATAGTAGTCAAAACTGCCTGGTACTGTACAACAATAGACACATACTCCAATAGAATAGAATTGAGAACCCAGAAATAGATCCATCCACCTATGGTCAGCTGATCTTTGACAAAAGGTAGAAATCCATTAAATGGGGAAGAGATTGTCTATTTAACAAATGGTGCTGGCAAAACTGGATATCCATTTGCACAAAAATGAAACAAGATCCATATCTCACACCACACACAAAAACTAACTCCAGATGGATCAAAGACTTAAATGGAAATCTAAAACCATAAATTTCCTCAACAAAAAACTAGGGGCAAATTTAAGGGCCCAGATATATGACATGGGAACCCTATAGTGCTCAAGGCATTTGACTGCTAACCAGAAGGCTGCCAGTTCGAGCCCACCAGCCACTCCTGGGAAGGCATACTGGGTAATCTACTTCCGTAGAGATACCACCTGGGAAAATCAAGGAGGGGTCGCCATATGATGTATTACGGTAGAAGGTCCATGGGGGGAGAGTGGTGTGAAACCATGAGTTACTGCACTGAGTAACAGCAACCATAGCGACTCAATTGCGTTTTCTCACTTCTTCATAGCCTGCCACAGATTTGTTTACTTTGGTCGCCTACTAGCCAATCATGCATTGAGTTTCCCTTTCCTTTTTCGTTTCCATTCCTCACCCTTTGAAACATGAGTTTCGTTTCTCTTGAACTGCTGGCCCCGCTCCCAAACATCACCTCGTGAGCCTGTCATCTGCGCCCAGCAGAGCTGGAGGCTTCCCTCCCTCAGGTAGCCTGTTATGCTCCTGCTCTGCACTGACTCCCAGAGACATTGGGCACGTTCAGAAGTCGTCCATCTTCCCCCTTAATATTTATCCGGTGGCAGATGCAGTTCCGTTACCCCTGAGTCCGAAAAAAGGAAGCGCGTCCGCGAAGCCTGGCAGAGCAGTGCCGGGTGCGATGGAACAGACGTCGCGAAAGAAGCCGCGGGGCCGAGAGGGCTCGGCGCCCACGCCGAATTCCGCGTCTGGATCCGGCGCGCCGGACTCGGCAGCCTCTTCGGAGCCGCGGGGCGCGCAGCTTTGGCTCTTCCCCAGCCCAGCGGGCCTCCGCCGCGCGTTGTCCCAGAGGTCCGAGGAGACGCGGCAGATCTGCTATAAGCGAGGGCGCCTGGCGGTGCTGGCGCGCGGCGGGACCAGCGTAGAGGTTCACCACCTGCCGGCGGAGAGCGATGGCACCGGGAAGCCCAGTGAGTGGGGTCGGCGTTAGTCCCTACTTGCGCTGGGGGCTTGTTGGGCGAGCGGCGCAGGGCCTGTTAATCAAAGCCTGCTTGGGCTGGGACCGGCGCGAACCCTTCTCTTTAAAGTGTCCTGAGTTGGAGGGTGTGACCCTACTTTTCTCTAAGCGGCGGGAATGTGCAGAAGAGGACCCGGGGCTACAGTGGTAGGCGATTGTCACAGAAACGTGTTGATTTCTGGCTGTTTTCCCATTTAGCGGGTGCACCGCACCTGAGCTCTCTTTTATCCTGGTCCCCAGTTTGTGCAGAGTTTGCACAGAATACTAGTGAGAGGTGCGGAGGGAAAGAAAGTATGCAGGCAGTATGTTCATCTTTCTTAACAAACCAAAACCAAACTCACTGCCCTCCAGTCGGATCCAACTCATACGACCCCTCCTTGGGTTTCCGAGGCGCTATCACTACGGAAGTAGATTGCCCAGCCTTCTTTCTGAGGAGTGCCTGGTGGGTTTGAACCGGCAGCCTTCTTAGCTAACTCCAAACCAAACTCATCGCCATCAAGTGGATTCCGACTCACGGAGACCCTCATTGGGCTTTCGAGGCGGTAAATCTCTACGGAAATAGATTGCCCAACCTGCCTTCCGAGGAGCGGCTGATGGGTTTGAACCAGCAACCTTCTGGTTAGTGGCCAAATGCCTTAGGCACTGCGCCACGACCGTTTCTTTTTAGAATCCCCCTTTCTCTCATTTACTTCTTAGAATATGCCTACCTTGATGCTGTGAGCCTTTGGAAAATAGAGTTAACATTTGACTGCTAACCAAAAGGCTGATGGTTTAAGGTTCAAACCCACCAGCCACTCCTCAGAAGGAAGACTGGGCAGTCTACTTCCATAGAGATTTAAAAAAAAAAAAAAAAAAACCTCACTGCCATAGTAGAGTCGAATCCGACTCATAGTGACCCCTCCTTGGGTTTCAGAGGTGGTTTCACTGAAGAAATAGATTGCCCATCCTTCCTTCCCAGCAGTGGCTGGTGGGTTTGAACCGCCATCCTTCAGGTTAGCAGTCATGTGCTTAGGCGCTAGGCCACCAGAGCTTCTCCGATAGAGATACTGCCTCGGAAACCCAAGGAGGGGTCGCTGTGAATGGGGTCTGACTCTAAGGCAGTGAGTTTGGTTTGGTTTTTAATTTTACTTTATTTTATTTTTTAGCTTTTGCAATATGAAATGGCTTGTGCTTTGGGATTTTTACATTGGTGGATGCTATTTCATTAGAACTGGAAAAGTGGGTGAAAAAAAGCTAAAAAACTAAATTTAATTTTTGTGAACAAATTAAAAGTCAGTAGTAACTAGTGGAAAATTTTAAATCTCAACTTTTAGAAACGGCTAAATATCCAATAATACGAGATAATCCCCTAAACACACTTGACTCTAGTTAGAGGGGTTTGTTATTATTTTTGCTTTGTTTTTTGAAAGAAAATACCTCAGAACACATATTTGTTCCTGAAATGTATGTGAATTATGTTGTTCTAAATTAAATTATATTATACAGTTATTATCCTGTCAAATTTAGACTTCTATGTCCAAACTATTGTTGTTGTTGTTGTTACGTGCCGTCGAGTCATACCTGACTCATAGTGACCCCTCCTTGGGTTTCCGAGGCAGTATCACTACGGAAGTAGGATTGCCCAACCTTCCTTCCGAGGAGTGGCTGGTGGGTTTGAACCGCCAGTCGTCTGGTTAGCAGGCAAGTGTCTTAGCCACTCCTCGGAAGGAAGGTTGGGCAATCCTACTTCCGTAGTGATACTGCCTCGGAAACCCAAGGAGGGGTCGCTATGAGTCGGGGCCGACTCGACGGCACATAACAACAACAACAACATGTCCAAACTAATTAAATAAGAATCTAAAAGCAAATAACTTATTTACTATTTTAAGAGTACATCCCATTTAAAGCAAAGTAAGAATCAATGCTTCCATAAATTGAAAAAGAAATCATTGTGAAGACAATAATTATTCCTTGTTTGTATACTTTTCATACTTGAATTTTCTTAAAGGCAAATTCATGTTAAGTCAAAAGTTGTCTAATTGAATTTTTTCCTAGGTGTGTTACAATGAAACCAGTAATAATAGTGGCAAATAATCAGAGTGATAATAATTTCTGGTTGGATTTTCTCTTTAGAGTATATTAAATTAGAAAGAAAAATGAAGATACATTCTGTGGACCAAGGAGCAGAACACATGCTGATTCTATCCTCAGATGGAAAACCATTTGTATACAACTATAGTACAGAACATGCAAGGTAAGGAGCTATTTTTCATTTTAGTAAAAATTCTTTTCAACGGAACAGCCAGAAAAGAAATAATGAGAAATGTTCATGCTTTGTGATGAGTGTAACCAATGTCACTGAACAACTTGTGTAGAAATTGTTGAATGGAAACCTAAACTATTGTGTAAATCTTTACCAAAAACACAAGAAAATATTATTAAAAATAAAAAGTAAAAGCAGAGTCTGAAAAGGGCAATAGCTGTACCAAACAGCAAACTCAAACCCACTGTCACTGAGTCTCTTCTGATTCATAGCAACCCATAGGGTTTCCAAAGCTGTAAATCTTTATGGAAATAATTACTTCATCTTCCTGCTGCAGAGCAGCTGCCAGGTCTGAACCCCCAACCTTCTGATTAGCCTTTACCACTGCACTGCCAGAGCTCCTTAATTTTACTTAAAGGACAATAATAACTTGTCAAGGAAAATGTTACCATATATGATCCTGCCTTATATTGTAACATCTTAGTTGGACAATGAGTTCTAAACTAGTGAATTCCACTGTTGTTACTGTTGTTATGTGCCGTGGAGTCCAACCCAACTCATAGCGACCCCTCCTTGGATTTCCAAGGCAGTATCCCCATCTTCCTTCTGAGGAGTGGCTGGTGGGTTTGAACCACTAGCCTTCTGGTTAGCAGTCAAGTGCCTTAGGCACTATGCTACCAGAGGTCCCATTAGTGAAGTCCATTTTTACTGCAAACCACTTTATGTCACCTGGGCAAGTATCATCTGTTTTGGCAGCTAAAGGAAATGATTGGTTAGTCCACCTACCCTCAGATTGGGCTTCATTAATTCATTTAATTCTCACAATAATCCTATAAATTAAGATGAACAAAAAACAAACAAAAGTATTTTTTCAACTTAGAAGGAAAAAAATGCATGATCATAGTATAATTTGTGAGACTTTCCTGGTAGGTTATATGAATTAGAATTTATTTCATCTTACATTATTATTGCATCAAAAGTTATTGTTTGCAAGAATCTTTTGGAATTATCTTATTATAGTTATATAATATGCCTTAGGCATATGTTTATATGCCTAAGGCATATGTTTTTTTAAAAACATATATATATAGATATTTTTAATTTTTAAATAATTTTTGATATAAAATATGAAGCAGTAAATTTCAAATTTTTTTCTGGAGCTTCACACCTAATAGAGTTAATAGTTTTGACTTGATAATTAGTTTTGACTTTGATAATTGTGACTTTCATTTTGGTGACTGACATAAAATATTTTCTTTCATCAGGTTTCAATGTGTCTTACAAGAAAATATTATAATTCAAATTGCATGTGGAGATCATCATTCTCTTGCACTCTCCAAAGGTAGTTTTCTGGAATATTAATTGTTTTTTAGATGCAGTGAATACGTCTCTATGTAGAGTTAGTAGAATGTATGTACTTCACCTTGTAACAGGAGAGAAATGTGGTTTTGAATTTGATATGGTTTAGAGCACTATTAAAGGAGATACAAAATGAGAGAAATATTAGACCTATAAAATCTTGAAGTTTCCATAATTACTATGCATACATTTTGTTCCATATCTTTATTTTTCAAATATTAAACAATGAAAATTTTTTGAATAATCAGAATCATTCTGTGGAATGAGGAGCAGGCCTGGGCCACCCTTTTCTACTACCTTCTGCCCTTTTCCTAGCTTTCCTCCAACTCCCGTGGCAGGTGCTCAGAATCTGCCAGGTCATCCTGTGGTGTATTGTAACAATTACTTTTAAATTCAAAGATTCTTCCAAGTCCTTTATTATTTCCTATTTTATATCAGACACCATCATGGTTAGAAATAGTAAATTTTAAAAAACCCAAACTTAAAAGGCAGTCAACTGTGGAAAGCATAATTAAGACAGGAGATTGACAGAGGGGAATACAGGGTTAAGGAAATTTTTAAAAATAGGGCAGACATGAACAGGCTTATAAAATAAGTAGAAGTTGGGATTCCATCACTATCACCAGCTGCTGTTGAGTTGATTCTAACTCATGGCAACCCCATGTATGTCAGAGTAGAACTGTGTTCCATAGGGTTTTTGATGGCTGATTTTTCAGATATAGATCACTAGGCCATTCTTTAAGGCACCGCTGGGTGGAATCAAACTTCCAAACCTTTGGTTAGCAGCTGAGTGTGTTAGCCATTTATACCACACAGGCATTGATTCCAAAAAACCCACTGCTGTCGAGTTGATTCCTACTCATGTTGTTGTTATGTGCCATCAAGTTGGACCTGACTCATAGCGACTCCTCCTTGGGTTTCCGAGGCAGTATCACTAGAGAAGTAGATTTCCCCATCTTCCTTCCTAGGACTGGCTGGTGGGTTTGAACTACCAGCCTTCTGGTTAGCAGTCAAGTGCCTTAGGCACTACACTACCAGAGCTTCCTTCCTACTCATAGTGACCCTATGATAGGACAGAGTGAACTACCTTGTATAGAGGTTTTTCAAGTCTGTAATCTTTATGGAAGCAGGTTGCCTCATCTTTCTCCCACAAAATGGCTGGTTCACTGCTAGCCTTATGGTTAGCAGATAAGCGCTATAACTGCTGCATCATCAGGGCTTTTGAGGGGAGTAAATAAGAAAATATTTGACCACTGATAATCCCATTGTGTTTAAGAGTATGAGTTTGTACTGGAAAAAAATTATCCTTTTCATTTGTTTTTATCCATTCATGAATAAATATTTTATATGGAGTATTAAGATGAAACAGACATACCTTGCCTTCAACTGGCCCATGGTCTCGTGGAGGGAGTAGGGTCAGAAGGGAGAATAGGGTGTTTAGAGTTTATTACTGGCAAAGTGCAATCTGGGTGGGAACAATAAAAGTTGAGGGAACAAGGAAGGGAAGTAATCATACTTATCATTATCCAGGCATACCTCGTTTTATAGCGCTTCACACATAATGCATTTTTTTTACAAATTGAAAGCTTGAGGCAGCTCTTTGTCAAGCAAGTATATCAGTGCCATTTTTCCAAAAGCGTGTTTTCACTTCATGATTCTTTGACACATTTTGGTAACTCATAATATTTTAAACTCTCATAATGCTAGTGTATTGATAGACTATACTCCAAAAAACCAAACTCACTATCAAATTGTTTCCAACTCATAGCAACATCATTGAGTTTCCAAGGCTGTCAATCTTTACAGAAGTAGACTGCCCCATCTTCCTCCTGAAGAGCAGCTGGTGGGTTTGAACCACTGACCTTCTGGTTAGCAGCCAAATGCCTTAGGCATCGTGCCACCAGAGTTCCTTAGTTGTTGTTGTTGTTGTTATGTAAAGTAAACATATATAGTAGAAGGTAAACATAATTTCTGTATGCACTGGGAATCCAAAAATACTGTGTGACTTGATTTATTGTGGTACTCACTTTATTGTGATGGTCTGGAACCAAACCCTCAATATTTCTGAGATAGCTTATATTCCTGGTAGTTGATAGTTTTAATAAAAAAAAACCCAAACTTGTTGCCATTGAGTTCATTTGGACTCATGGTGATCCCGTGTGTTACAGAATAGAACTGTGCCATAGGATTTTGTCTTGGCTATGACTTTTACAGAAGCAGATCACCAAAACTTTCTTCCATTGTGCCTCTGGGTAGGTTTAAACTGCCAAACTTTAGGTTCCAAACCAAAACCAAACTCACTACCATCAAGGCAATTCTGACTCATAGCAACCCCCACTGGATTTCTAAGACAGTAAATCTTTACAGAAGCAAATTGCCCTGTCTTCCTTCTATGGAGGGCTGGTGGGTCTGAACTGCCAACCTTCTGGTTAGCAGTCAAATGCCTTAGGCACTACACCACCAGAGCTTCTATATTCCACCAGAGTTCCTATAGGTTAATTGAGTGAAAACCATCCTCACAACTTGGAAACTTGGTAGCTAGTCCAAAAACCAAGCTCACTGCCATGGAGTGGATTCCAACTCATAGCAGACCCTTTTTAGGGCAGAATAGAACTAACTACCTAAGGCTGTAAATCTTTAGGGAAGCAGACTGCCTCACCTTTTTCCCACAGACCAGCTGGTGAATTCAAACCACCAACTTGGTTAGCAACTGGGTGCTTTAACCACTGTACCACCAGAGCTCCCCAGAGGGAGCTTTCAGAAAAGCTGATAGGCATATAATAACTATGTTTGAAGGAAAGCCACTCCCACCAGATCCTAAACAGTATCTTGCTAAGAGATGGTTTGTAAAAATGAATTCTCTGATATATTTTTCAGACTTCATGAGATATTGTCAATTCCATTAGATAACATCTAAGTTTTTTTTTTTGATACTTACAGCTCTGGTGATGTAGTGCCTAAGGCATTTGACTGCTAACCAGAAGGTTGGCAGTTCAAACCCACCAGCCTCCATAGAAGGAAGATGGGGCAATCTACTTCTCTAAAGATTTACTGCCTCAGAAATCCAATGGCAGTTGCTATGAGTTGGAATTGACTTGAGTTTGGTTTTAGTTTGGAACCTAAAGGTTGGCAGTTGGAACTTACCCAGAGGTATGAGGGACGAAAGTTTTGGTGATCAGCTCCTGTAAAAATCACAGCCAAGACAAAACCCTATGGCACAGAAGCAGCAGGATCCAGGTAAGGGGCAGGAGGCAAGGCTAGGCCCCAGCCTCCTAGAGCCAGGAAAGGCAGGGAGTGGCCAGGGATCACAAAGTGGCAGGTTCCAGGTAGGAATTAGGTAAGGGGAGGACACAGAGGTTTCCAACAGCTAAGGGAGACAAACTTGTCTGTC